ACACACATATATATATACACACATATACACACATATATACATACATATATACATACACATATATTATCCAGAAAGAAAAGACAGTGATAAGCAGAAATTCATAAAAACAAACAAAATTTAATTGATATTATTTTAGCGTATTTGTTGAGTTTTACTTGTAACAGTGAATATTTAATCAGAAGTGTCATGTGACCACTTTAAAGGCTCATTAAAGAACAAACTGGTTTGTAAATTGTATTTATTTATTTTCCAACAAATGAAAAATATAATCTATAACATTATAAAAAGCATTAATGTGCATATTTTACACATTTACAGACCATTTCAGCAACATAATTGGAACTAAGTAGTGGTTACAACCAATCAGAGAGCAGTGTTTCAGTAGGCGGGCTTGTATCAGGTGACATCATTAGTTCCATTTTCAGTGGTTGAAACATCTGAAAGAACAAAGAGGCTCATGGGTAGTGTAGTATTTAAACTGACTGAGCTTCAGGACCAAAGGAAGCATCAACATGTATGAGCTCTGATTGGTTTAACCCCCCCCCCCCCATCATCATTAACATCTCCGAACCAGACTCCACTAAAGAAACGGCCCGTTTCATCTCTGACGTTCACGCGTAGCCGCACTTGTGCAGCTTCAGGTTGCGCTGGTCTGAGTACCTCTTCCCACACTTGTCACAGATGAACTGCTTGCCTCCGGCGTGGACGTGTCTCTTGTGCGTCCTCAGGTGGCTTCCCTGGCTGAAGGTCTTCCCGCAGACGTCGCAGGCGTACGGTTTCTCTCCAGTGTGGACCCGCAGGTGCAGCTTCAGGCTGTTGGCGTTGTTGAACTTCTTGTCGCAGAAGCTGCAGCCGAACGGCCGCTCCGTGGAGTGTGTGCGTCCGTGAGAGATCAGGCTGCTCTGCTGGCTGAACGTCTTGCCGCACTCCCGGCAGCCGAAGGGGCGCTCGCCGGTGTGGATCCTCCGGTGGATCTTCAGGTTCACCGACTGGCGGAAGGTTTTCCCGCAGAGGTCGCAGCCGAAGGGCCTCAGGCCGCTGTGGATCCTCTGGTGGTTCTTGAGGTTGACGGAGTGCCGGAAGCTTTTGGAGCATTGATCGCACTTGAAGGGCTTCTGCCCGGTGTGGATGAGCTCGTGCGTCTTCAGCGTGACGGCGCGGGTGAAGCCTTTACCGCAGGCGGTGCACACGTAGATCTTGTTGCTGGTGTGCGTGTGCGCGTGGCGCTGCAGGTTCTGCAGCAAGTTGAAGCGGTGGCCGCAGACGTCACAGCCGTATGGTTTCTCCCCCGTGTGGACGATGGCGTGCGTCTTCAGCTGCGTCTGCTTAGAGAAACGCTTACCGCACTGCGGACACACGTGCGGCCGCTCGCCGCCGTGCGTCCGCTCGCCGCCGTGTGTCCTCTCGTGGCTCCTCAGACTCTGTCGCTGACGGAACGCTCGGCCACAGATGGAGCAGCAGAACGGTTTCTCTCCCGTGTGGACGCGCCGGTGAACCTTCAGGCTGCTCTGAGACGTGAACGATTTACCGCACGCCGTACAAGAGAAGTACTTCCAGGTCATGCTCTGAAGGACGAACTCTGGAGGGCCGGAGACCCTCTGCTGGAGGTCAGAGGTTACCGGCTCGGCGGCTTCAACTCGAGCTCCTGGAAGGAAAACACAAAGATGACAGTTAATTAATCAGAGACATATTTATGGGACGATTGATTTCCTGTTTCTAACTATGAGAGCAGCATGTTTTGATCAGGTACTCACTCTCAGCGATGGCTCCCAGGTCGATGTTGCCGTGTTCGTCTTTGATCGTCACCGCCGGGACAAACGGGTTCTCAGTTCCCTCGTTCTGCGGTTTGGTCTGCAGACACACAAATGAACAGACGTCACAGTCAGGTCAGTGAACGCACCGCTGGTGAACAGGTGAGTCAGTCTTACCTGAGTGGATCTGTGAGTGTCGGAGTGTTTGACCTCTGTGACGGACAAATCAGACGTTAGAACAGAGTTTGAAACATCCTGTTATGTATTTAGTATTTTTAGCTAGTTAGCTAGCATGCTAAGTCCCCCTTGATTTAATGCTACAGTTACAGAACATAAAAAACTCCAATGAAGAGCTGGACGTCTACGTTACTTAGCTGATCGCTAATGCTAATGCTAATGACTAGCATGTTGAGGGTTTGGTAAATGAGCTGTTATTGTGACATAAACAGTTGTGTATTTCAGTGATAAGTGTAAGCTAGCGATTAGCATTAGCGATTGATGAGGTATTGATCAGGTACTCACTCTCAGCAATGGCTCCCAGGTCCATGTTGCCGTGTTCGTCTTTACTGGTCACCAACAGGTTTTCTGTTCCCTCGTTCTTTGGTTTGGTCTGAAGTCACACAACGAACAGGGACGGGACGGTCAGTGAACGCACCACTGATGAGCAGGTGAGTCAACAGGTGAGTCTTACCTGAGTGGATCTGTGAGTGTTGGACATCTCCAGTCGGACTCCGTACGAGTGCTCCACCTCTGTGACAGACAGATCACAGGTATGGTTAGTATGACATCATCATGTGGGACCTTCCTGATTGGTTGGATTGTGGAGGCGTGGCCTGCGTACCAACACATGTGTTGTTGAGGATGTTGAGGATGCTGGTCTGAGGTCTCCTGACCCCCCTCACAGACGGAGGCTCCACCAGCAGTCTGGCTTCATCCACCACGTTCATGATCTTACCCAAAGCCTCGTTACCCAGAACCTCCATGAGGGACGCAAACTGCACCTGACGAGTCAACGGTCACAAGGACAACACCACCACCACCACCAGTCAGCTCAAAGACAACAACAGCACCAGTCAGCTCTTCATACAGCGATTTATTCATAAGGGACAACAACTGTTCACCATTTACAATGGGTCCAATCTTATTTCCTCCTGTCTGTATGTCTCGAGTCTCACGTCTCTTACGTGTCTCGAGTCTTTTCTAGTTTCTTTGTGTTCATTAATATTAATCTTGTTTGTCTGTTGTGTTCAATCTGAACTTCACTGAAAATAAAACAAGTCAAACATAATAATGAAACATAACCCTCAGCTGTAACAGAACCCCCTCCCCCCCTCCTCACCATCTTCTCCTGGCTGTGGGTCTTCAGTCTGTTCCCCTGACGAGGCCCTTCTCCGGTCCGGACCACCTGGAGGTCACCAGGGTTAGGGTCTAACCCCCCTCCGTCCTCCTCCAGCTTCTGCAGCTCCGCCACCGCAGCGTGGACCAGCGCCTCCATGATGACGGACAGCTGTGTGTGCAGACCGGTGGAGGAGCTCATTCTGTCGGATGGCAGATGCTAACTGTTTAGCAGCATCAGCTGAGCTCGGTTGTTTCTGGTTTGTTTTTAAACGTGTTACATTGAATCCAAAAAGCGACGCTTTAGGAGAAATAAGTCCGACATTAAAGTTAGTTCACTAACAGACCGGAGGAGACGTGAAGACACCGGAAGTGTTTCTCTTCTTCTTCGTGTACATTATAGTAGTGTCACGAACTTCCAGCTAGGTTCTTCTTCGTTGGTGTTTATTCGCCATCTACTGGACTGGAGATGTTCCTGCTATGTTCATGTTTTTAAGAGCTTTTGAATGCAACTTATTCAATAATACTCAAGTACTCTGATCTGTTACTGCAGTAAAAGTACTGTGTGTACCTCAGTGTGGAAATATTCTGTTACAAGTTAAAAGTAAAAGTCCTTCATTCAAAGTATAACTAAAGTAAAAGTATCAGCATCAAAATGTACTTAAAGTACTAAAAGTACTCATTCTGCAGAATAAGATATATTATAATAAGTCCTGCTCTAAAAGGAGAGCATGCTACTTAACTGTAGAGCGACTGTGGCCAAGTGGAGAGCAGGACCGTCATTCAGAGTCGGGGGTTCGATCCTCGGCTCTGCTAGTCGCATGTCGATGTGTCCTTGAGCAAGACACTTAACCCCTAAATGGCTCCCGTAGCTGTGCCTATGGTGTAAGTTGCTTTGGATAAAAGCGTCTGTTGAATGACTGTAATGTGACGAGTCACAGAGCAAACACTCCACCAGTGGAGACACATTATTCTCAGGTTCATACACATTTAGACAAAAACTTGTTTTATATTAATATTATCAAGATTTCACTAACTAACCATCAAAGAGACACACAACCACCACAAAGAGACAACCACCACAAACATGATTATATTTTGATACTTTATGAGTCATAATAAGATGCTTTATTGTTATAAATCATAATGAATATGTATAAGTGATATCATAAAGTACTAAGGAGATTATAACACAAGAATGTTCTTAAAGTGCAAGTCCAGTAAAGTCCAGTAGAGGTCACCACCGCACCACAGAAGAAGAGTGTCTCATCTTCCTGATCATCACAAAACATGTGAACCCGTGGAGAGAAAAGAGGTTTGAGACCTGAAGGTGCGTTCAGTCTTTCTCTGTAAAATCAGCAGCAGAGGCTATCGTTTGTGCCTCAACTCGTTTCTTCCTCTGACTCCGACTTCTGCTTCAACAGTAGGAAGAGTCCTTATAAGGGCGTGATGACGTCAGGGCGGTGGGCGGGGCCAAGCTACTATAAAAGCAGCTGTGGCTCTTCTCTCAGCCTTAATCCCATAATGACTGACTCTGATAGCAGGATGCTGCTGCAGCCTCTCTGGACCTTCCTCCTGGGACACTCGTCCCTCATGCACTCACCTGTGTTCCCCGTCCTCTTTTCCCTGTCTGTCTACCTGTCTTGCTGCGCACCCTTCCTGCTGCTGGACCTGCTGTCCTCCAGGTGGGCCCTGGTGCACAGGTACAAGCTGCAGCCTCGAAGCTCTGTCAGCTGGGCCTCGGTGCGGAGCTGCCTGGCTGTGACGCTCTACAACCACGTGGTTTTCATCCTGCCTCTGACCGTGATGCACTGGTACCTGAGACCAGTCCACCTGCCTCAGGAGGCTCCGCCCCTCGCCCGTCTGCTGGCTCAGGTGCTGGTCTGTCTGCTGCTGTTTGACTTCCAGAGCTTCATCTGGCACCTGCTGCACCACCGAGTCCCATGGCTCTACTGCAACTTCCACAAGGTGGGTACCTGAACCAAGACTCACATGTGACAGATAGAAATGTCAATTATTAGAAAAAGATCATTAACAAAGTGTAAAATATTAATAAGAGCAACATTTCCTCAAATTCAAGTTGCTTGGTTGTGATCATTTCTACTTTTCTTTATGAGGACTTTAAACTGAAGACGTTTGGAGAAAGGAATAATAATAATAATAACAACCTTTCCCTCCTCCTCCTCCAGGTGCACCACACCTTCTCCTCCACCTCCTCCCTGACCACGGAGCACTCTGGAGTCTGGGAGACCCTCAGTTTGGGCTTCTTCTCCGCGATGACCCCGTTTCTTCTCAGTTGTCATCCTCTGACGGAGCTGGTCTTCTTCGTGGTGAACATCAGTCTGTCGGTAGAGGATCACTGTGGATACGACCTGCCCTGGTCCTCCCACCGCCTGGTGCCTCTGGGCCTCTACGGCGGGGCCCCACACCACGACCTGCACCACCTCAAGTCCAACTGTAACTACGCCCCCTACTTCACCCACTGGGACCGACTGGCCGGGACCCTGTGCACCCAGGAGGACTGAAGTACTGAAGGAGACTTCCTGCACTGATGGAGACGTTTATGAAACGATGGAGAATTATGGAGACCATGAACTCCTCCGAAAATTTGGTTTCTGAAGTGACTTAAGGATTTTGTGCTGTTCAGAAATCTTCTTTTCCATTAAAAGACTGAAGACACATTTATTTATAACTATTCAGTTATTCACGTTTATATATTAACGTTATTGATCATCTCAGATGTAAATCAGCTTGTTGTTGAGTGATGGATGAGAAGAAAACACTGAAATCCAGAAACTGACATTTGAAGATATTTAGCATCATTCAGTGTAATATTATTTGAATGTGTTTTATGTTACTGTGAGTCTGAGCTGCTTTGAGATGTATTTAAAGTTAAAGATTTTCTTTAATTCATCAGAAAAATGTTCATATTGAACAAATACACAAAATGTTGAAAGATATTCTGTCAACATCCATTTATGGCAACTCATTTATGAATGAGCTGCAGTTTATTGACTCGAGATGATAGAAAGAGAACATTATTCAAATGTTTGAATATTTAAGTCAACAGAACGTTTGGGAGAAAAATGTGACTGAAAATGTAAAAAACTGTTTTTGTTTCTGAACTGAAGTGAATCACTTTGATCTGAGAATAAACTTTATGAACTAAAATAATGTTTCTCTTTGTGTTATAGTCCGTTCATAGTAATTTATACTTGTGTTATAAAGTATAATTATAGTTATAAGCACTCATTAATGTCCATAAGGGTTTATAACAATATTATATAACAATATAAAGAATCTTATAATGACTTGAATTTATATATAAATCGTAGTAGTATCAGTATTATTACTGTAGTATTCATCAGTAGTAGTATCAGTAGTACTGTTTGTAGTATTCATCAGTGAGAGATGAAGCAGCAACAAAAGAGCAGCAGAAGAAGAGGAGTTCACACACACAGCCCGTTTACCAGAAGTCACATGATCACCATGCTGTGATCTGATTGGCTGCAGACAACAAACAGCTCTTCCAGGGTTGGCTCGCTGGCTCAGCAAGCTGAAGTCCAGCTGTTTCTCATGGAGTCTGCTACCAGAAACCCCTGAAGAAAGGAGTCCAGATCACATCCCTCACTGATCTCCTAGTGTGTTAACATTCAGATCACTCAGACCACATCAGGACGTGGTCTAGGACCCTCACTGTGAGGCGTGTTTAACCTGTCTTATGTGGACATAAATCTGTTTACACACACACGCGCACGCGTACACACGCACGCGTATACGTATACACACACACGTACACACGTACATGTATACACACGTACACGTGTACATACATACGTACGTACGTACACGTACACGTACACGTACGTACACGCACACGTGTACATACATACGTACATACATACGTACGTACGCGTACGTACGTACGCACACACGTACGCGTACGTACGTACGCGTACGTACGTACGCGTACGTACGTACACGCACGTACGTACACACGCACGTGTACGTACGTACGCGTACGTACGTACGCGCACGTACGTACACGCACGCGTACGTACGCGTACGTACGTACGCGCACGCGTACGTACACGCACGCGTACGTACGTACGCGCACGTACGTACGCGCACGTACGTACACGCACGCGTACGTACGTACGCGTACGTACGTACACACGTACGTACGTACGTACACACGTACGTACGTACACACACGTACGTACGTACGCACGTGTGTACGTACGTACGTACGTACTCACGTACTCACGTACGTACGTACACACGTACACACGTACACACGTACACACGTACGTACGCACGTACGTACACACACGTACGCACGTACACACACGTACGTACATACACACACGTACGTACATACACGTACACACACGCGTATACACACGTACGTACAGACACACACACACACACACACACCTCTGTGGGACTAATGAAGGATTATTTTATCTGACAAACACTGACTCACCCGACAGGTATTTTCTCCCAGCAGACTCTGCTGTAACTCAACATGACTCATGAATCAGACTTCAACAGGTAAACCAGTGACGATAAGGAGAAACTCAGATCTAGACCCTGGACCTGCAGACGCATGTCTCCTCCTCCACTCTGTATCTGAACTCTCCGACTTGTCGAGACACGAAGACGAAGGTGATGATGATTTGAACTTGACATCCCATAATAACAAAGTGAGAGCAGGAGTTTAGAAAACTGAAGAATGAAGAGCTGAAACCAAATAAAAGAATCAGGAAGTAGAGGTACTACAGTAAGTTACTACAGTGGAGATAGAAGTACTACAGAGGAGGTAGTAGAAGTACTACAGAAACACATGAATAAATGACCTGAGGCTGAAATCAGCAGACCTCTGACCTGTCATGTTTCAAACTCTGTGAGGACATTTAAAAAGATGGGACACTTTTAATAAGTGAGGACATTGTGACATTCCTCATTCTTTAAGTGATTGTGATTCAGATTAAAGTTGCAGTTAGGGAACAAGTCCTCACAAGACTTGAAGTACAGTGTGTGTGTGTGTGTGTGCACACACAGAGTCTTCCACAGAGTCTTCTGTCTCACTTTGTAAATGATTTGTCTGATGATGTCACACGTTATAGGTAAAGGACTTCCTGTCTCGAGTTAAAACAAAGTGAACATGAAAGAGAAGAAATAAAACAGCTCGTCCTGTTTGATGTTTCACATTTTAACCAGAGGCGCCACCTGCTGGTCAACATGTGAAACAGCAGAGAGAAGTGCACCGACACAGGTCCTCCTGTAGGGGGAGCTACAGCTTTATACATAAGACGCATGCAGAGCAACACTCTTCTTCTCTCTGAAGCAAACACGTCAACAATCAGTAATAAACAGCCATCACACTCTGGAGAACGTACAACATGTTATTACGTTCCCCAGAGAACAGAATCTAAAATGTTCCTCAATGTAGTCGAGTAACACAAAGAGAAAAGTCAAGAAGTAAAAAAAAAAAAAACCACATATACTTACCAATAAAACACAATAAAAAACAAAACAGTTTGTACACAAAGAAAGAAACAACATTTATTGTGGGTCAGCACAGAGACTCTGGTGTTAGGATCTATCAGGAGTGCGTTTGGTTATCAGCAAATATGAAAAACTAAATTATTAACATCAATAGAATTATTAATGTCAGTATATTATTATTAGTAACGGGGCTCCACCCTGAGAACAGGAACCAATAACAAACTAAACTGATAATTAATACTCACTCACAATGTCAACAGTCAAAGTGCTGTTACACATTCAGAGTGAAGGTTTGATATCAGCCGTCATCACAATACACAAAGTAGTCACAGAAAGCTGCTCTTTAGAGTAGAACAGTTTATTAAGTTCTAATAATGATTTGTATAGCGAGAAACTACTCAGACAATGGCTGAATGTAATCCAAAACTTGGCCGTGCCACGTGGGACTACAAACAATATGGCGGAGGTAGATAGGACAATCAAAATGGAGGGTAGTCTCAAAGTGACCACACCACACTAGACTACAAAATGGCAATAGAAACTGCATTTACATACACGTGTCTGAGATTGTTAGCTAAGGGGGGGGGGGGGGGAAGTAAAAGAGAAGAAATGAAAACACTCAAAACAAGGCACATCGTCATCGCCGCAGTAAAACATGAAACTGTTACTTTATCACACAGAAACCCGTCTGGTGCACTTCATAGCAGTCGATGTGGTTCTTGAGTTTCTTGGTTAAACTCTGGGCCTGGAGCTTCAAGCTGCGCGGCAGCAGGCAGGGATTCCTTGGAAATTAAGTGAATTCTTCTTCCTTAAGACCGGCAAAATGTCGAAGTTAACAGGAAGAGAACGAGGCATAGAAGTTATCCATTCTCTGCCACACAGTCTATCGTTTCTCCAGCGAAGTTAAGACTCTGACCGAAGGTTTCCTTTTAAAAACAACCACGTTTGTTTTGCCTCCTTGCACCAAGACAGCGCGCGTTGGAGGTGACACTGGGTTTTTATAGATACTGTGACGTCATGCCATAGAACACGAAGAAGCGACTCCAACAGGGAGCGAGCAAAACTAAAAAAAAGAAAAGCAAAGGTACAAACCAGGAGCAAACACGAGAACCAAATGCTGGAACAGACAGCGGAACGAACAAAGACGATCTGACAATCAGAACAGGGAAAGCAGGGGAGTATATATATGTGTGTGTGTGTGCGTGGGGGGTGATGAGAAGATTGAAGGCAGCTGGGTGGAGTGGGCAGGTGAGTAGGATGAGTGCAATCAGGGGACACAGACACATAGGGACACAGAGACATAGAGACACAGACACATAGGGACACAGAGACACAGCCTAAACCGTGACAGACACAGATATAAACTTAACACTCCAAAAGCTAAAATCTAAATCTTCCTCTATGAACTCAAACAGAAAGTTTTAGAAGTTTTATTTGTCAGAATTAACGTTAGTTACAGCGCTGCAGATCTTTATCTCTCTCTCTCTCTCACGTCAAATTTACTTTAAAATCAACACTTACACACAAGTTGACTAGATTATGATCCATAAATGTGGTCAACACACGTCTCTTCTGCTGGTGGCTTAACTATCTGTCCTATTGGAGAGCATTTGTTCCTTTATATTTTATCTGCAGACTTCACAATAGTTGTGCAGAACAAAATAAGCATTAATAAGAAAAGGAAAGTCCTCCGTTTTGTGTCCATCGTCCTCCCTAAAGCCGCTAACCGTGACTTCAGACGTCTCCGTAGGTCTGATAACCGCTGGACACGCCGCTCGCTGATCGCTCCAATAACAGCTGCTTCCCCCGTAATAAAACCGACTTTAACTTTAGCTGCTGGTAAAGACAACAAGGTCAGCACCACCTGTAATCAGTTGTCCAGGTTGAATTAACCTGGTAGTTGATCGGTATTCAATGTTGTTGTTTGTGATCTTCCGGGTAGCGATCACGTGATAGACATGTGACCAATCAGGGAAGGACACGTCATGACTGCTAAGAACCAATCAAGTAGCGATTGCAGGTGTGGGTGTCATCGTTTCCAAACTTATGCGTTGACGAGCGTCCACACGAAAACGCAACCCCGGCGTTTTCAAACGTATCCTTCATCGGGAGCGTTTTCAAACTCCTCCGTTTTCGAAAACGCCGGCGTAGTGATGACGCTCAGTGTGAACGTAGCAAAACATATGAGTTTAAAATGGAAATGGAGCAGTGTGGACGTGGCCTGAGTCAGGACAGAGACATCCTCATTAACATAGAAACCCTTTTTATTGTCATATACATATACATGAAATTTGACCTCTGCATTTGACCCATCCCTGTATATAGGGAGCAGTGGGCTGCTAATGACAGGCACCCAGGGGTTCAAGTGTATTGCTCAGGGACACTTCGACATGTCCCAGTCAAGGATCGAACCGTTGACCCTGCGGTTACCAGACAACCCTCTTAAGCCAGTGAGCCACGGTCAATTGAAATGAGCTCAATCTTTACCAGCTGATAATCTGATGAACACATTAATGAATCAACAGTATCTTTTTATTTAATCTGGTTTATAAGTACTTTAATTATATTTTGATGCTGATACTTTTGTGCTTTTACTTGCAACACTGAAGTATTAGTACTTCTTCCACCTCTGCAGCTCGTGTTGCCATAAAAAGAAACAAAAAAGGGCAGAACACACACACACACACACACACACACACACACATACACACACACACACACACACATACACACATTCCTGAGCTGGTTGTGTGTTGATGTTTGTCGGCCAATCAGAAACAGTTTCAGACGTCCCTTTAAGGAGTCCAGCTGTTTTCCCATTTTCGGTCAAAGTCCAGGCAGTGTGTGTGTGTGTGTGTGTGTGTGTTGTATGAATGGCCCACTTCACCTACACAGTAAAGTAAAACAAGTATAAAACATAAGAATTACAACAATAATAATAATATATTAACAGATAATAGATAATGTAAATTGATATGACCCTTTTCCTTCTTCTCTGCTATAATAACTAATTATACTTAAACTGGGATTAGATCAGATGATGTTCCAGATGTTCTAACTAACATTCTGTTTCTACTGTGATGAAGTTAACTTCATCACAGTAGAACTTCATCTCCAGCTTGTTCTAGGATGATTTTATTGTGAAACTCTTGAAACAGGAAGCTGTTCCTGTTTCAATCTAAGGTTCCATGTTATTTTTAGTTTTCTTCTTCTTCTTCTTCTGTTGCTCAGAGGATCTTTGTCTGTTAGAACGTCTACGAGAACATCTGTTAGTGAAGAACACGTTCTACATTCACTAACTTTACATACATGTGGAGATGTCAGAACAATAAATGAAGTGTATGTTTGTGTTACTTTTCGATATTAAAGTGTAAATAAAGAGCATAAATCAGTGACGGTGGTATGAAGCTGAAGGAGGAGATGAACCCTGTACATCTAAACAAGGACATAGTGAAGGAGGGAGGATAGGAGACCACACCCCCCATGTTTCCTCTCCTTACATGAGAGGAGGAGGAGGAGGAGGCTCCTCTTATTTACTGACCAGCTTCCTTTTTAGGCGTTCCAGCTACAGACCGTCTCCGTCTGTTGTTGTGTTTTAGTTTGTCTCCTCATGTCCTTTAGTAAAGTGGGTGGTGTCTCAAAGGAAGCTTTCTCTTCCTCGTAGTAAAGTTTCCTTTTAAGGAGTCATCATGTCCACTTCTCTAAATACTACATTACCCATGAGCCTCAGTGACCGCTGTGACCGGCTGAATGCTTCATCAGGTTCTGCAAAAAAGTCAAATCTGTAGCTTCGGTCAAAGCTCTGTGATTGGATGTTTGTCGGTGCAATGCACTCTGGGAGTCGTAGTTGACTCTGAGTACTGGTTGGTTCCCAGTAAGTCCAGGTCCAACTGTCTGGAACCAGCTGCTGTTGTTCTGAGTCATATCAACCAATCACAGCTGTGGTTGAAGGCAGGTAATTCGGGTGGATCTGATTGGCTGAAAGTAATCTGAACAAACTAGTCTGATGATGATTTATCTTTTTATTGGTTTAAATAATAATCTGGATTCTTATGAAACAATCAAGTTATTAATCCAACAACAGGACGTCCAGAACCTGTCTGTCTGTCTTTCTGTCTGTCTCTCTCTCTCTGTCTCCCTGTCTCTCTGACTTTATTGATGTATTTAGTTTCACTACTGGTTTGTCCTTTAATGTCCAGTCGTCCCAACACGTCTCTGTGTTTGGTCCTCAGAGGATCCTGGTCTCCATCATGTAAACTGATGATGTCATTGTTTATGTGTGTGTGTGTGTGTGTGTGTGTGTGTGTGTGAACATGTTACACTTCCATATGAGGAGGTGAAACAGAGAGCAAAGTCAAATAGTAACCAGAGGTCACTTATATGAACGATTATGTTATCTGGAAATTTATACTTAATGAACTTAAACTAGTTTTCATAATCAGTGTTAAAGTTTCTCTGTTGTAACAAACTTACAGAATCATTAAAATCTCGACCAGATTCTCTCCGTTAGCTCATAATCAATATTATTATTATAGTGAGATGATAAATGAGAAGAAACATGTGACTCTGAACCGCTGCTTTAATAACTGATCCGATCAAACATCTCCTCTCCTTTAATAACTGATCTGATCAAACATCTCCTCTCCTTTAATAACTGATCCGATCAAACATCTCATCTCCTCTAATAACTGATCCGATCAAACATCTCCTCTCCTCTAATAACTGATCCGATCAAACATCTCATCTCCTCTAATAA